TATATATATATATATATATATATATATATATATAAAATCTGATGTAACGGGATAATTGACTTATTAACTTCACTAAACTTGGATCATTGATCTGAATAATTAAGTTTAAATTAATAATAATACACTTATCAAATCTCTATAAATTAATCTTAGTATTTGTCTAGTTTTAATTTTCGATGTGAAGTAAAATTATAATTGTTCTCAGAAAAATATAGTTATGATGACAATTAAACATCAAGTATTTTGATACCAACGTACATGCTCCTAAAAGTTTGATTTTATATTTCAGTAATTCCTTTGGAGAAGGACTCACACAGGACACGTCAAAGAGATGAAGAGGAGGCATCTGAAAGCTCCAACGATGCCGGTGTATGTGCTTCAAATCATCAACATCTTTTCCATCACAATATCAATAGTCCACTATTGTCTCTCTGATTTGTTTCTCACTTTGGCGTCTACATATATATAATCTCAAGCAAGCTGAAGCCACAGAGCAAGATGACCACGAATATTTCGGGAGGCAGAGAACAATTCGTTCGAGATTTCCATCTTGCTGCTGTACTCTCGTTGACAAATTAGTCATCCCAGGCACTCCTACTAGCTTCTCTGTCTACAATTTTTGTAGTCATCCATGTTCTGTTTCATTACGCTGATGTATTCCTTTTTGTGCTTGCAGTCAAATGGGTTCGTCTGTTTCTTTTCATCATTATAAGGACTTGTGAGTAACTGTTCCCAAACAGTACATTGATGATATTAAGAGCCATGTCCTACTGTTTCATTACGAGTTCTAGCAAATTAGGAAAGTACTATAGAAAAGGCTTCTTGTAATTTAGTTCTCCAAAACCAAGTAGTTTACATGATGGATAATTATAGCTTATTTGCGGAAAAACATAAATGGGACGATTATGTCGCTGACTTCTTCTGATGTTAATTTGGAGATGCAATGCGTTATGCAGTGTACCCTCGAACCCGACATCTGGAGAAGATTAAGAGAACCCATAGAAAAGCCTTGGAACTCATCGAATTTTTAGCCCGCGACCCGAGAAACATGGAGTTCTACGTGCTGGGAAGAAAACAAGGTGACGGCGGTGCTCCTGCGGCAGACCTTCGAGAAAGAGGTGAGGGACAAGATCAACTTACCGCACCGGCTGAGTCATACAGAAGATGGAACGAGCCACCCTTGATCTTGGGTGCACAAATGGGCATTCCCGAGTTCGTCAGGACGATCTTACAAGTGTGTCCGGAGGCAGCTACGTATCTGGACACCCAAGGTCGAAGCGTTCTCCAAGTAGCAATACGGCATGGTAACCGAGATATTGTGAGAACTATACGTGAGATGACTCGAGGGAAGAATCCCATACTACCATTCTGGCTACTGTCTCGCGTCGACAAAGGGACCGGAAGAACCATCCTGCACTTGGCTTCGGCAACTGCCCCCGAGCATAACCAAGATGCTCTACAAATGCAAGATGAATTAAGATGGTTTGAGGTCAAGTCCCTAACTACATTAACTACAAATAAAATCTTTACATTCTCGGAGTTGCCTACTAAATTTGATCGTTTTCTGACATTTTTATGCAGACGGTGAGAGATATGGTTCCTAAGGAATTAGTGTACAGTAGAAACGCGGAAGAGACGACCGCAGAAGAGATGTTTACTGAGAGTCACAAAGATTTGCTCAAGAGTTGCAAGGTTCAACTAATGGAAACGGGCAGACTGTGTTCCGGGCTGGTCGCAGCTGTAGTGTTCGCGTCAAGCTTCTCAGTCCCCGGCGATAAGGACCCAACCACCGGCAACCCGGTTTACTTCGGTAGGGCAGCTTTTACGGTCTTCTCACACACGTACGTGTTTGGGCTTTCATGCGCCGCGACATCTCTGGTGTTGTTCTTATCCCTCGCCATGTCACCTTACAAGGAACAGCAGTTCCGTCGTATCATCCCAATCAAATACTTCTTTGCCCGCTCGTCGTTTGGGTTGGCGATGCTGTCTTTTCTGGTGGCGTTCACCTGCAACATCTACCTACAGATATATGGCTGGCAGAAGACGAAGTCGAAGGACTTGATTCCATTCATATTGGAGCTCACCGCCTTCCCTTTCATCTGTTTCCTGGTGTTATTCTTTTATGGCTCCAAGTTCGGTCTATCTTTTCTTTTTCATTCTTGGCGTTGAGTCAACAAGCATGATCGTCCACACGAATCTGGCAGGTTCATGATGTACGTGGGTTGTACCTATTACGGTATGTCGCCTGTTCCAGTGGTATGCGGTGGTAGAAGTCATTGGACAGTTAAATATCTTGTGTGTACAAGCAGCAACAAAGGCATGTTATATGTGGCCGCTATTTGATTGTAACTTTAATGTGGTCTTTTCTTCTATCTTAAATTAGATAATGATATAGGCGCCACGGTAGACAACAAATCTGATCACCAATAATGGTGATGGCCCATCAATACTGAATAATGGTGATGGCCCTGCCTATTGTTTTTGGACTAATGTCCATATGACATAGCTGTTGATGGGATCTTATCCTCTCACCGTTGACTGTATTGTCATGTAAGATATGCATGGACGTCCTTTCGTTTTCCCAGAGATCGGCTAGAAGATAGGATCGAGTCTTATTGAATCTTCTGTGACAATCAAGTAGTCTTTATCGTACAATTTTGGCCCACCAAAGTTTGCACAGGCAAACGAAATGATTGGCTTATAGAAGCCGATCGTTCAAGAAGTGAAGGACGTCAATTTTGGATTGAAAAAAGATCATTTAGCTTTTCAAAAAAGAAAAAGAATAACCTTTATAAAATGGATAGAAAACTCTCCGTGGAGGCCTTTACACCGCTCCTTAGCAGCATCCATGGACTGGAGTCAATAAGAAACATTTAAGAAAAGATAGAAACAGACGTATCGTTGTCCAAAGAGTGAAGAAGACAAACTAACCACAAGCAATGCTCGTCTATTTTAATGACCTGTCACAAGTCTAATACAGCCACAAAACATTAAAAAAAAGGAAGAAGCTTGTTTATGAGGTGCCAAAGGTTATGGACATCTATCTGATTCACGCACGGAATGGTCACCATCCCCGAGCACCTCTTTCGAAGCCAATTGTTTGGTCGGCACCTTTGATTCCTTTCTCTGTATCTGTCCAAGTGCTGCTCGCCCTTTCTCAAGTACTTTCTAATCCTCTATCCATCTCTCCATTTTTATTTTTCTACTTTTACTGTTATAATAAGTTTTTTAAATTATTTTTATTACATTAAATTACATATAAGACATCCTTATATAAACATATCATTATATTGCCACGACTATATAGACGCTTATTCTATATACAAACTAGAAATAGACAAAAGGATACCAATAAAATAAAGAGACACCGCAATAAGAATCGGATTTGGTAAAGTATTTTCCTCAAACGAGCTTGGAGGATCGGATAAGAGTTTTGTAAAGAGACCACTGCTCCTGAAATGAAAACCAATCGTCGTGCTTTCAATTAATAAAACCAATCATGCATACCGTTTTCTAAAGTGTTCAATGAGGAGACAACATAAGTAATTGTCAGTTCACGCATATTACTTACCGTACGCAGAAGGAGGCGTAGGTACGTCGGTCGATGGTCACTTGATCTCCTTCCTGGCCATCATATAAAGGGAGGCCTTCAGGTGCTCATCTAAGACCACCAAGGGTACGTGAAGGTTGAAGACGTAGCCATGGATCCTTCGGGAAGCCATTCGGCCCTCGCAACAGATAACAGTGATGACGAGAATAGACGACCTAGCGTCTTCGACGTGGATCACTTTTGCACCGTGACGTCTCTGATTCAGCAGGAGAAGTACGAGGATCTATTACCCCTAGCCATGAAGAAGGATCCTCCACTCAACCTCATGGAGGACCCTGTGCTCAACGTCGTCATCGAATACAAGAAGACCGACCTCGCCAAACGGCAGATTCAAAACATGCCCGCGGAGAAGAAGCCCGCGGAGAAGCCCGGACCGCTGTGGTACGCTAATTACCACGGCGACACGGCTCTCCATGTCGCGGCCACCGTGGGTGACCTCGACGTGGCCAAGGCGTTGGTCTGGAAGAACTCAGAACTCAGAACTCGTCAGTGCACGCAACTGGAAGAACGAGACACCGCTGCACAAAGCGGCGCTGTACGGGCACGAGACGATGTTCTGGGACCTGGTGGAAATGGGGTCGCACGCCCCGGACGAGCGGAGGGAGGACGGCGCCACCGTGCTGCACTGTGCCATCATGGGCAGCGCGCCGGGTGAGTTGTAATCAATTCCAGGAAGCCATAGTCATATATAGCTCCTTTCTTGTTTTCCAAAAATATGTTTACATAGTTGAATTGTAATGTAGCTTTAGCACTGAAGATTGCCAAGACATATCCACCGCTGATCACGTCGCGGAATGATGATGCGGTGACTCCGATGCAGCTGACGGTGACAATTCCAGGGTTATTCCGAAGCCTAACGAATCTTGGGCCCTTAGAGGCCGTAATTTATAAGCGTGAGTCGTAATGTAATTTCTAGGATTTACATCACCATAAAACATTCACAGCATGTAGTTATGGTAACTAAGGCTTTGTTACATCAAATAAAAGCACACCAATATGCATGCTAGCTCTTGAAACTTCATGGCTGTATACTTTGATTGCAATGTTGCAGTGATTCCATACGAAGACTCCAGCGAGCCACGTGCAGTAGATGAAGAGACAACCAGGGTCTCGAGCGCTGTTGAAGTATGTGCTTCCGGATGAATCATTTTGTTTTGCATGATGGCATTGATATAGTTCATGAGGTCGATAGCATCTTTTCTACTACTTGTCAATAATATTTATCACAAAATTTAAGAGCAGTTTTTTCCTCAAACTAGACAATATAAAGTTTGATCTACCATGTGTTAGAAATTTTTGTAATATCAGTCGAAGTCATTCTGGTTAGGGTTAACGAATTACCCTTTTAGGATATTTCTATTCATCTCACACATATGAATATGGGTTTTGAAAGTCTTTCACATATTCACAAAGGTTTAAACTTAATACATGTAACTCAATTTTTAAGTCTTTCTCTTCTTTGAAGGGTTCAAACTTTGAGTTCATATATTTTTTAACTTTACGATACGGTTCACATATCTACATCTATCCAATGGTACGACTCATCTACATTCAGTGGCTGGAATATTATGTAATTTTTTTTTAGAAACGATAAGTTTGAGCCATATTCTAGTTAGGGTTAATGTATATTAGGTCATACGTCATACATCAATTGAATCTAGAAACTTTGATTATTATATTATCAATCAAATTTAGTATATGTAACTAGACTCTTTCAATTATTAGTAACATGAGACTATCCTCTTAGAATATTTCTTTTCATCTCATATATGATTTGTCCCTGCACGAGTATTATTTCCTTGTATTGTCTCTGACGTTGGCGTCTACATGTACTTAATAAGGGAGGTGCAAAATATATCAAGCGAAAGGTTGTGTCTCTTCTGCCCCCCAAAACGTTTCGTTCGAAATTCCCATCTCACTACAGCAGTCTCTTTGACCTGCGGGAATTGATGTTCATCCCAGGTACTCACTCCTACGAGCTTCTCTATTTACATTTCTTACCTGGATCTTATTGTTGGATCACAGTACTACACTGATTCGTGCTTCTGTTGATGCAGCCAGATGGGTTCATTTGTTGCTTTTCCGCATTCTAAAGCAATGTAAGTCATTGTTCGTGGATGGATGCATGATGTTTAGACATGTTGTCCTTTTCCAATTAATGTTAGTGGAATTGCAATGCATCATGCAGTGTTCCCTATGATCGAACGTCTGGAGAAGCAAAAGAAAACCCACAAGGAAACCTTGGAACTGATCGAGTTCTTAGCCTATTATCCTAGGCACATGGAGTTCTATTCCAAGGGAAGACGAAAAGGCAAGGAGGAAAGTCTTCTTGTTGGAGACATCACCAGTTCTACAACAAGACAGTCTCCTCCGTCAACAGACGCTGGTGAAGGCCAAGGAGTAAATGGAGGAGGGAACCGAGATCAAGACTTTGATAGGTTTGCGGAAAAGCTATTTATGTATATGTCGCACAAGGATGCCAATCACGAAGCAGTAGCAAAAGAGCTCAAGAAGAGCATGAAGGAGTCGATGGAGGAAGTGTCCGGTGAATCCACAATTAGAAGATGGGACGAGCCGCCCCTGATCTTGGGTGCACAAATGGGTCTTCCTGAGTTCGTCAGGACGATCTTGCTAGTATGTTCGCAGGCAGCAGCATACCTGGACACCAAGGGGAGAAGCGTTCTCCAAGTCGCAGTCATGTATCGTCGCGAGGAGATTGTCAAGATCATAATGGACATGAGAAACATTTTACCATCCTGGTTATTTTCCGAAATCGAACCCAAAACCGGGAACACCATCGTGCATCTTGCTTCACGTGGAAGCCCTGATGTAGCAAAGGAAGCGCAAGACGAACCGGATGCAATGCAACTGCATTACGATTTAGTATGGTTTGAGGTAAAGTTGCTAAACTTTTTTGCCCCCCTCCTCAAATTTTGACATGCTTCTCAAAAGTATTATCCGTTCAATTCTTTGACATGCATTCTTCGGTGTCGGTTGTGGGTTATTCGCGCATAATACAAAATAACCAACAAATACACAAATAAAATCTACGTATTCTCAGAGTTGCGTACTAAATTTGATCGTTTTCTGACATTTGAATGCAGACGGTGAGAGATATGGTTCCTAAGGAATTAGTGTACAGTCGGAACGCGCAAACGAAGACCGCAGAAGAGATGTTTACTGAGAGTCACCGAGCGATGCTAAAGAGTTACAAGGGTCAACTAATGGAAACGGGCAGGACGTGTTCAGGGCTTGTCGCTGCTGTAGTGTTCGCGTCGAGCTTCTCCATCCCCGGCGATAAGGACCCAGCGACCGGCAACCCGGTTTACTTCGGTAGGCCAGCTTTTAAGGTCTTCTCACATGCGTACGTGATTGGGTTGTCATGCGCCGCCACATCTCTGGTGTTGTTCTTATCCCTCGCTATGTCACCTTACAACGAGCAGCAGTTCCATCGTATCATCCCAACCAAATACTTCTTTGCCCGCTCGTCGTTTGCGATGGCGATGCTGTCTTTTCTGGTGGCGTTCACCTGCAACATCTACCTACAGATGTATGGCTGGCAGAAGGCGAAGTCGAAGGACTTGATTCCATTCGTATTGGAGCTCACCGTCTTCCCCGTCATCTGTTTCCTGGTGTTGTTCTTTCGTGGCTCCGATTTCGTCTTTGGGGTTGAGTCAACAAGCATGATCGTCCACATCGTTGGAATCTGCAGCTTCATGATGCACGTGGGTTGTACCTATTACGGTATGCCACCTGTTCTAGTGGTGTGTGGTGGTGGTAGTCATTGGACAGTTAATAACTTGTGTGTACGGGCAGCGACAAAGGCATGTGGTGTATAGACAACAGAGCTGGTCACCAATAATGGTGATGGGCCTCTCTATTGTTTTTGACGAAGTCAATATGACACAACTGTTGACCGGATCTCACCCTGTATTGTAATGTATACTGTCACATGTCGAGCGACAGATTTCCCCTATCGCATGCAAATTGCAGTGAGATGTATGGACGTCCTTTTGGTTTCCCAGAGGTCGGCTAGAAGATAGGCTCGAGTTTTATTGAATCTTCTGTGACAAATCACATAGTCTATATCGTAAAGTTCTGGCCCGCCAAAGTTTGCACAGGCAAACGAAATGATTGGCTTATAGAAGCCAATCATTCAAGAAGCGAAGGACATCAATTTTGGATTAAAAAAATATCAACAAAAAAAAAATTCACCTTTGTAGAAAGGAAAGAAAACCCTCCTTCGCATCATCTATGGAGTCGAATAAGAAAGATTTAAGAAAAGATAGAAATGATCCGAGTGAAGAAGACAAATTAACGAGCAGCAATGCTCGTCTATTCCAAAGACCTGCCACGAGAATAATACAGCGAGAAAAAATGAAAAGAAAAGAAAAGAAAGAAGCTTATTTATGAGGTGCGAAAGGTTATGGACATCCGATTCACACTGTTGTAGCCGATGGTTACTATCCTCCTCCGAAGCCAACTTGTGCTCGGCTACTTTGATTCCTTTCTCTATGACTGTCTCAAGTGCCGCTCGTCCTTTTCCAATTACTTTTTATATAAAATTAATATATTTTATATAACAAAAGAGTAATTTATATATATAAAAAAATTATTCTAAATTATTCAAAATATATTATTACACTATCATTCAAAGAATGTGTTGCATATTAATTTTTTTTATATATAAAGAATCCTATTAAACATGAGGTATTACAAAAAAAAAATAGCTCTCTCCAACAACCTCCTGTCATGTCAACTTCTAGTAAAATCCCTTTTAGCTTGAGAAAAGAAGTTCTTCGTTAATACTATAATTGAGACTGCCACCGCAAGTAAAACCAGTGTTTGGTACCCTGTCTCCGTTCCACCATGCGCTGACGTTATCAGATTCCCTTTCGCTGATCTATACATCTTATTGTCATAAGACGTGAGACTGAAAGTGATATGTTGGAGGAAACTATTAATTATATTTCTATTTATTATTGGTTGACCGATGGAGATGATTACTTTACTTGAGATGTCATGTTGAGGTAATTAAATCATGCCAACGCAGATTCGAATAATAAAATTCTATTAGCTTGTCATTAAGCAAAAGACACCCACTCGAAGATAACTTGATTTGGAGCTACAAATGATAACACTGAGAGCAAAAGATTCAATAAAGAGATGTTGCCATAATCCCGGGTGCATAAAAAGAATCGGAGACCAACCAAAGGGTCGTCAACTCCAAAGACTTGCGATGAGTATGATCTACAAAAACTTTTCTATAAGGTGCAAGTTGAATGATCGGTGGAGACCCACAAGTAGAGCTTTGGGTGCAGGCTTCCGGATTATTGTTTCCTGTAGAGCAAGAATCGTTGACCCACAAGTTAAAGCTGCTGTCTAGCTTTAACGTATGTGAATTATTCATTAGTAGGTTGGCCTCTGTAACATACGATTAATTTGTTGTCGAATCTTTTGTGAATGAGATGGAGGGTGCTTAATTTGTTAGTGAAAGAAAAGTCAATAATGAGAAAAAGGGCAGAGAAGAAAACGCAAGATGAAAGCTCATCTGGAGAGTTCTTCATGGCAGTGCCACTTTAAGAGGGGAGATAGGTTGGAAGGGGTCCAAAGGGGATCTGTACTAAACTTGGAACGGTTTAGCTGGTTTGAGCAAAGAATCCGACGCCATTTTCCGACACTAAGCGACGCCAATCGACTGAAAAGGAGGGAGGCGTACGACGATGGATGAGAGCCAAAAGGATAAGCTAATCTGCTTGTTAAGGCAGGCCTTCAGGTTTCTTTAGTTTCGCAGTAGAAATCAGGAGGCGAAGGCGTACGAACGAGTTGTACGCACCATATAGCAACTGCACCATATATATTTTTGGTCGGTGAGAACGTAGCGAAAGGAGCGGCTCCCTTCGGTGTGTTTTGGATATGACGGCTCCTTCCACCACCCAAAAGCTGACGCCTGCTGCAGATGTAGGCACCGGATCAGGGAGAAAAGTAGAGAAACAGCCGTCTGTACCCGGGAAATCGCAGCCTGCACACGGCGCAGGTGGTGGTGGATCAGAGGAGCCACCGCATGCCCTGGACGTGGCACGCTTCCGCCGGCTGAACTCGCTCATCCACCGTGAGAACGTGGACGCGAACAAACTCCTGCGTCTAGTGGAGCAGGATAACCACGTGAACCTCATGAACGACCCCTTGCTCAGCGTCGTCATCGCCTGCAAGAAGCCCAAGCTCGCCTGCAGCCTCATCGACAAAATATCATCAAATGACATTCTCAAGGCCAGCAACTTAAACGGCGACACGGCGCTTCACGTAGCTGCCGCCATGGACGACAAAGAAGTGGCCTCGAAGCTGATCGACAGGGTGCCAGATCTCGTTCATATGCAGAACGTGAAACAGGAGATACCGCTACATAAGGCGGCGCTGTACGGGCTGCTGGACATGTTCTGGCTGCTGGTGGAAAATAACAGCTCACCGAAAGCCCGGAGGGAGGACGGCGCCACCATGCTGCACTGTGCCATCATGGGCAACGCGCCGGGTAAGCGATCATCACCAGTTTTGTTGGTCTGGCGCTGGCCAGCTGTCTTTCTCTTGTTTTTATCCTATTTTTTTGAAGTGTTGTATGTGGATCATACTGCTTCCGCATCTTTGGTGTGATCAAGGTGAGTGAGTCGACGCAGGGCTTGCACTGGAGATTGCAAAGCGTTTTCCATTGCTGATCACATCGCGGAATACTATGGCGGTAACCCCGTTGCAGCTGATGGTGACCGTTCCGGGGTTATTCCGAAGCCAAATGGTAATTGGCGGCTTCGAGTCCATCCTCCATGACTGTAAGTGCTGCCCCGCCTCTTCCTTCAACGCCCCCAGCGCCCCGCCCTCCCCCCTGCTTCTCTATTTATTGCACTACATTTCCTACTAACGACTACCTTAATTTAGCGATCGTTCGACGTCCAAATTTATCGAGAATTTACCAAGGGGTGTTTTGTTTCTCATTATCGGGACACATATACCCTTGATTTTTTGGATTTATTATATGGTTTTGTGTTAAACCGAATCAAATCTAATCGGTCGAATCTGGTTTGCACTCTGTTCTTTTTTCTTTCACATGTCTCCTCCTCCTTCCCTCGATTCGCCCTTTTTGTTGTCACCCTTTCACCCTTATTCTTTCTTCTTCAAGGAGGAGGAGGAGAGGAAGCGACACAAGGTTGACCGGTTCATTGAACCGGTTCGCTCATCGAAACTGTTTTTGTGAATCATTTCAAAAAGTTTGAAACGAAATTAATTGGAATAGGAGGATAAAGTTAGAATTTACCAAAAAAAAAAACATTCCTAAATAATTTCTGAATAGAGGGGCGTGATAGAAACCAATTACTAATAATCTTTTAGGTGAATTATTATTATTATTATTATTATTATTATTATTATTATTATTATTATTATTATTATTATATATAAATATAATATGGTGTAACGGAATTATTGACTTAGTAACTTCACTGAACTTGGATCGTTGATCTGAATAATTAAGTTTAAATTAATAATAATACACTCATCAAATCTCTATAAATTAATCTTAGAATTTGTCTACTTTTAATTTTCGATGTGAAGTAAAATTATAATTGTTCTCAGAAAAATATAGTTATGATGAAACTTAAACATCAAGCATTTTGATACCAGTAGTGTACATGCTCCTAAAATTTTGATTTTACATTTCAGTTATTCCTTTGGAGAAGGACTCAGACAGGACTCGTCGAAGAGATGAAGAGGAGGCAAGTGGAAGCTCCAACGATGCCGGTGTATGTGATTCAAATCATCAACATCTTTTCCATCACAATATCAATAGTCCACTATTGTCTCTCTGATTTGTTTCTCTTTTTGGCGTCTACATATATATAATCTCAAGCAAGCTGAGGGCACAGAACAAGATGACCACGAATATTTCGGGAGGCAGAGAACAATTCGTTCGAGATTTCCATCTTGCTGCTGTACTCTCGTTGACATATTAGTCATCCCAGGCACTCCTACTAGCTTCTCTGTCTACAATTTTTGTAGTCATCCATGTTCTGTTTCATTACGCTGATGTTTTCCTTTTTGTCCTTGCAGTCAAATGGGTTCGTCTGTTTCTCTTCATCATTTTAAAGACCTGTGAGTAATTGTTCCCAAACAGTACATTGATGATATTTAGAACCATGTCCTACTGTTTCATTACGAGTTTTAGCAAATTAGGAAAGTACTATAGAAAAGGCTTCTTGTAATTTAGTTCTCCAAAACCAAGTAGTTTACATGATGGATAATTATAGCTTATTTGCGGAAAAACATAGATGGGATGATCATGTCGCTGACTTCTTCTGATGTTAATTTGGAGATGCAATGCGTTTAAGATTAATTTAGTTCTTCTGATGATCATGTCGGAAAAACATAAATGCAGTGTACCCTCGAACCCGACATCTGGAGAAGATTAAGAGAACCCATAGAAAAGCCTTGGAACTCATCGAATTTTTAGCCCGCGAACCGAGAAACATGGAGTTCTACGTGCTGGGAAGCAAACAAGGTGACGGCGGAGCTCCTGCGGCAGGCTTTCGAGAAAGTGGTGGGCGACAAGATCAACTTAATGCACCAGCTGCGTCTACCAGAAGATGGAATGAGCCACCCTTGATCTTGGGTGCACAAATGGGCATTCCCGAGTTCGTCAGTACGATCTTACGAGTGTGTCCGCAGGCAGCTACGTACCTGGACACCGGTGGCCGAAGCGTTCTCCAAGTAGCAATAAAGCATGGTAACCGAGAGATTGTGAGAACTATACGTGAGATGACTCGGGGGAATAATCCCATACTACCATCCTGGCTACTGTCCCGTGTCGACAAAGGGACCGGAAGAACCATCCTACACCTTGCGTCGGCAAATGCCCCCAAGCATACCCAAGATGCTCTACAAATGCAAGATGAATTAAGATGGTTTGAGGTCAAGTCCCTAACTACATTAACTACAAATAAAATCTTTACATTCTCGGAGCTGCCTACTAAATTTGATCGTTTTCTGACATTTGTATGCAGAGGGTGAGAGATATGGTTCCTAAGGAATTAGTGTACAGTCGAAACGCGCAAGAGATGACCGCAGAAGAGATGTTTACTCTGAGTCACCAAGCTTTGCTCAAGAATTGCAAGGATCAACTAATGGAAACGGGCAGGCTGTGTTCAGGGCTGGTCGCAGCTGTAGTGTTCGCGTCGAGCTTCTCAGTCCCCGGCGATAAGGACCCAGCCACCGGCAACCCGGTTTACTTCGGTAGGGCAGCTTTTACGGTCTTCTCACACACGTACGTGTTTGGGCTTTCATGCGCCGCGACATCTCTGGTGTTGTTCTTATCCCTCGCCATGTCACCTTACAAGGAACAGCAGTTCCGTCGTATCATCCCAATCAAATACTTCTTTGCCCGCTCGTCGTTTGGGTTGGCGATGCTGTCTTTTCTGGTGGCGTTCACCTGCAACATCTACCTGCAGTTATATGGCTGGCAGAAGACGAAGTCGAAGGACTTGATTCCATTCATATTGGAGCTCACCGCCTTCCCTTTCATCTGTTTCCTGGTGTTATTCTTTTATGGCTCCAAGTTCTTTTATGGCTCCAAGTTCGGTCTATCTTTTCTTTTTCGTTCTTGGCGTTGAGTCAACAAGCATGATCGTCCACATCCTTCGAATCTGCAGCTTCATGATGTACGTGGGTTATACCTATTACGGTATGCCGCCTGTTCCAGTGGTGTGTGGTGGTGGTAGTCATTGGACAGTTAATAACTTATGTGTACAAGCAGCGACAAAGGCATGTGATGTATGGACGCTATTTGATTGCAACTTTAATGTGGTTTTTTATCTTCTATCTTCGATTAGATGATGTCTGCGCAACGGTAGACAACAGAGCTGGTCACCAATAATGGTGATGGCCCTCTCTATTGTTTTTGACGAAGTCAATATGACACAACTGTTGACCGGATCTCACCCTGTATTGTAATGTATACTGTCACATGTCGAGCGACAGATTTCCCCTATCGCATGCAAATTGCAGTGAGATGTATGGACGTCCTTTTGGTTTCCCAGAGGTCGGCTAGAAGATAGGCTCGAGTTTTATTGAATCTTCTGTGACAAATCACATAGTCTATATCGTAAAGTTTTGGCCCGCCAAAGTTTGCACAGGCAAACGAAATGTTTGGCTTATAGAAGCCGATTATTCAAGAAGCGAAGGACATCAATTTTGGATTAAAAAAATATCAACAAAAAAAAATCACCTTTGTAGAAAGGAAAGAAAACCCTCCTTCGCATCATCTATGTAGTCAAATAGGAAAGATTTAAGAAAAGATAGAAATGGTCCGAGTGAAGAAGACAAACTAACGAGCAACAATGCTCGTCTATTCCAAAGACATGCCACGAGAATAATGCAGCAAGAAAAAATGAAAAGAAAAGAAAAGAAAGAAGTTTATTTATGAGGTGCGAAATGTTATGGACATCCGATTCACACTGTTGCAGCTGATGGTTACCATCCTCTTCCGAAGCCAACTTGTGCTCGGCTCCTTTGATTCCTTTCTATAAAGGTTATGGACATCCGATTCACTCGCGCCATTGCTGCTCGTCCTTTCCCAATTACTTTTTATATAAAATTATTATATTTTATATAATAATATAGTAATTTTTATAAAAAAAGTATTCTAAATTATTCTAAATATATTATTATACTATCATTCAAAGAATGTGTTGAATATTAATTTTTTTTATAAATTTATCCAAAATTCATCATAAAACTAATCATAAAATTCTACATCTCTTATTTTCTATTTCCTATATTGACTTAGTTATACTCAAAATTAAAATAAATTAAATTCGATTACCTAACTTATTTTAATATTAATATATATATATATATATATATATATATATTACTTTTAGATATATTTAGGATAATTAATTATCAGAACTTTGAGAATTCTACTGTAATTTGATTCTAACCAAAAAAATACTAGTTTTTTTATTTTATAATAAGTTTATATAAAATTAATATATCTTACTAAATTCGAGTGTAACTTAGATTTGGCTCTACCCAACCCGACTCGATCCGAAAGGATGCGCCCCAAATCAATTTAATTCAGATCCAATCAACCAGCTAATTAGTTAGGTTTGAAATAGTCTCGTATTATGAAAATTTTTAAATAAAAATATCCTGAGCTTTTATATATATATATATATATATATATATATATATATATAAAGAATCCTATTAAACATGAGGTATTACAAAAAAAATCGCTCTCCAACAACCTCCTGTCATGTCAACTCTAGTAAAATCCCTTTTAGCTTGAGAAAAGAAGTTCTTCGTCAATACTATAATTGAGACTGCAACCGATTCTTTGTTTTTTACTCATTTTCTTTTGGTTCGTTTTCATGTCAGTGTCAAGCTACATGATAGTTAAACAAGTGTTTGGTACCTTGTCTCCGTTCCACCATGCTCTGACGTTATCAGATTCCCTTTCTGTGATCTATGTATCTTTTTGTCATAAGACGTGAGACTGTCAGTGATATGTTGGAAGAAACTATTAATTATATTTCTATTTATTATTGGTTGACCGATGGAGATGATTACTTTACTTGGGATGTCATGTTGAGGTAATTAAATCATGCCAACGCAGATTCGAATAATAAAATTCTTTTAGCTTGTCATTAAGCAAAAGACACCCACTCGAAGATAACGTGATTTGGAGCTACAAATGATAACATCGAGAGCAAAAGATTCAATAAAGAGATGTTGCCATAATCCCGGGTGCATAAAAAGAATCGGAGACCAACCAAAGGGTCGTCAACTCCAAAGACTTGCGATGAACATGATCTACAAAACCTTTTCTATAAGGTGCAAGTGGAGGTTTGGGTGCAAGCTTCCGGATTATTGTTTCCTGTAGAGCAAGAATCGTTGACCCTCGCATGGCCATCCACGTTTATGGCATGTAGGTGCTGTCTAGCTTTAACGTATGTGAATTATTCATTAGTAGGTTGGCCTCACTAACGTACGATTAATTTGTTGTCGAATCTTTTGTGAGTGAGATGGAGAGTGCTTAATTTGTTGTGAAAGAAAAAACAATAATGAGAAAACTAGCACAGAAGAAAACGCAAGTTGAAAGCTCATCTGGAGAGTTCTTCATGGCAGTGCCACTTTAAGAGGGGATATGAGTTGGAAGGGGTCCAAAGGGGATCTGTACTAAACTTGGAACTGTTTAGCTGGTTTGAGCAAAGAATCCGACGCCATTTTCCGACTCTAAGCGACGCCAATCGACTGAGAAGGAGGGAGGCGTACGACGATGGATGAGAGCCAAAAGGATCAGCTAATCTTGTTGTTAAGGCAGTCCTTTCAGGTTGCTTTAATTTTGGTGTAGGCATCTGGCGGCGAAGGCGTACTTACCATATAGCAACTGCATGCTATGGGGGATCCCGCCGCTCTTGCCAATACGGATTCCATTCACGACGGCACAGAGGATGCTGATCCACTGCATGTGCTCAACAGGAGACATTTTCTCGCGGTGAAGTCTCATTTCCGTCAGAGGAAGCACGAGGCACTCTTGGCTCTAGCCGTGGAAGATCCTGGTCGCCCGGTGAACCTCATGAACGACACTTTGCTCCACGTCGTCATAGCTTGCAACAAGACCGACCTCGCCAAAAGTATTATCTTGCAGATGCCAGTGGAGACCCTCGCGGCCAAGAATTTGTACGGCGACACGGCTCTTCATGTCGCTGCCGCCGTGGGTAACAGCGAGGTGGCCAGGGAGCTGTTCGGCAAGAGAGAAGATCTCATCGGAGAACAGAACTTGAAGCAGGAGACACCACTGCACAAAGCGGCGTTCTACGGGCATCATGACATGTTCTGGTGCCTGGTGGACGAGGGGAATGGCTCCCCGTACGAGCGGAGGGAGGACGGCGCCACCATGCTGCATTGTGCCATCATGGGCAACGAGCCGGGTAAGCGATCATCACCAGTTTCGTTGGCCAGCTGCCTTTATCTTGTTTTTATCCTATCCTATTTATTTGAATTGTTATATGTGGATCATACTGCTTCCGCATCTTTGGCGTGATCAAGGTGAGTGAGTATCGATGCAGGGCTGGCACTGGAGATTGCAGAGCATTTTCCATTGCTGATCACGTCGCGGAATACTATGGCGGTGACCCCGTTGCAGCTGATGGTGACCGTTCCGGGGTTATTCCGAAGCCAAATGGAACTTGGCGGCTTCGAGTCCATCCTCCATGACTGTAAGTGCTGCCCGCCTCTTCCTTCATCGCCCCCGGCGCCCCGCCCTCCCCCCTGCTTCTCTATTTCTTTCACTACATTTCCTACCAACGACTACCTTAATTTAGCGATCGTTCGACGTCCAAATTTATCGAGAATTTACCTAAGGGTGTTTTTTTCTCATTATCGGAACACATATACCCTTGATTTTTTGGATTTATTGTATGGTTTTGTGTTAAACCGAATCAAATCTAACCGGTCGAGTCTGATTTGATCTCTGTTCTTTATTCTTTCACATGTCTTTCTCCTCCTTCCCTCAATTCCCCCTTTTGTTGTCACCCTTTCACCCTTAATTCTTTCTTCTTCAAGGAGGAGAGGAGGAGTAGGCGGAGGAGGAGAAGAGGAAGCGACAGAAGGTTGACCGCTTCATCGAACCGGTTCGCTCATTCAAACTGTTTTAGTAAATCATTTCAAAAAGTTTGAAACGAAATTAATTGGAATAGGAGGATAAAGTTAGAATTTACCAAAAAAAATTCCTAAATAATTTTTGAATAGAGGGGAGTGATAGAAAACAATTACTAATAATCTTTT